AACTGTACATTCCTAGCAACAGTGAACGCAGAGCCCCAGTTCCCCCACATTCTCACCAGCACTTGTCTTCCAGTTCTTGTTCCTGTATTTTGGGGGCAGTGTGACCCAGGTGGGTGTCAGCTCCCTCTCTAGTCTCCTTTTGCTGACCTCTTCTTTTGAACTCCATTGAAACTTAGGTTAATTCCGTTTTCTCTATGCTTAGTCTCTTACCTGCTGTTTTGAATTTTCCATCCTTTTGTTTCTCTGGACTTCATTCTGGAATTTTTCTGCAGACTTACTTTCCTGTTTAATTCCCTCTTCATCTGTATCTAGTATGTTTTTAAGTCCATCCATCCAGTACTTAATTTTGGACATTGCATTGTTTGGTTCTTTTAAAAATTTGTGTCACTTTTCGAAAGTAATCACCCCTCCCCCTAATTTTAATCTTGAGTATTTTGTCTTATACATAGTAAGAATTATTCTGCTCCTAATTATTCTCACATGGATCTTCATTTCTGCAAGTTTTTGTTTATAGTTGTCCTGCGTGCCTGATTATCTTTGGTTGTGCTTTGGACATTGTGTTTGAGAATTGTTTATAGAAGTAAATTGAGGACTAAACTAGAATTACGTTCTCTCCATGCAGAAATGATTTGGGCTTTTATCTTCCAGGGGTTTTAGGGCGCCAGCAATCTAATAAAATCATTTCTATCTGCTGTCAGGGATTGGTAGTTTTCTAGGTCACCCAGTTTCTTGAAAATTGGTCTGCAATACATCTGGAGGCTGTTTTATTTCCAGTTCACTCTCCAAATGTATAGCATTTGGATTTCCAACCCAAAGTGTAGGGGGTTGTTTGAGGTCTCTGGAATGTATGTTCTAGACCCAAGTGATGATCACAAGTAATTCTCAGCGTCTTGTTGCCCCTTTTCAGTGTATAAACAGCCCTGGAGCAGAGGTAGACTCTTGACTGCAGGCTTCTCTCTCTGGATTTTAGTTTTCTTATGTTTTGTGACCTGGTAGTTTTTCTATGCCTTCTTAGTTCTCCAGTGTTTCCAAGCAGATGTACTTTTATGTGAAATTCCACACTTGTAGTTGTTTTTAGCATGAGGGGTGGCCTGAGTTAGTCAGCCATTATTACCTCCTTTTAAAAGTTACAGGATAAAGGAACTGTGTTAGCCCTTGAACACATCTGTTCCAAACTAACTCATTACTAGTTAGTAAAGTAGGGGTTTATTATCACTTACCATGAATCCAGTATCATGCTGTGCATTATGGAAGTTTCAAGGAAATACCAGGCATGGTATTCCTTACATTCAGGGACATTTAGCTGGGGACACAAACATAAACTTAAAATCAGATAGAATGTTGGAGGAGACCAGGGTCATGCAGGATTGCTGGTTTCGTGAAAACTGGATGGCGTGAGGGGCGTGGGCCGAGCCCCCGCCCTTCTCTCCTGGCCGTCTGCGCGTGGCGGGCAGTGCCCCGTCCCTCCCTGCTGTACCTGGCAGCTCTTCTTTGGCTCCTGCACTGTATTGAAGACGCGTCTGAGGCCCTTCTGGGGCTGCCTCCCCTGCCCTCTCCCGAGTCCTCAGCTGTTCACTCTGCCCACCGTCGCCCCGCACTCCTCTCAGCTGGGAGGTCTTTTCCTTCAGTGTGAGGCCAGTTCTTCACCGCTTACTAGCCTTGTGCAGTGCACCCCCTCTGGAAAACCTCCTCTGCCAGCCCAGGCCGTCTTCCCAGGAATCCTAGGCATGGCCTCCACTGATCTGAATCAGTATGTTTGACCCCTGCACTGGCAGTGACCATGGTTTGGGGCTAACAGCTATCATCTGGGTCATCTGGCCTTTTCCATGCACCAAGCACTATTGCAAGCACTTCATGTGCACACAGTGACCTTTGCTGTCCCCATTTAACAGGTCAGAAAACTGAGGCACAGAGAGGTTTCACAGCTCCTAATTAGAGTTGTCTTCTGGGCAATGACTTTATTCATTTCTCCCTTTCTTCAATAGGGAAATGGGAATGTAGGAGAAGGGCCTGAACTGTGAAGATAAACATTTGTGGGTTGCCTCTCCTTCCCTGCCCCTACTGGGGCCATGACTAAGGGTGAAGTAGACAAGTGTTGCCGGGGCGGGGGGTTGGGGGGCGGATTTGTTTTTCTGTGAAGGTGTCTGGGACTGTGCTCTGGCCTCTCCATCCTAGGTCCCTGGGGCTTGCTGCATCCATCAGCCTAGTCTTCCGGAGCAGTCTCTGGACTCCCCCAGTCTGCCTGGGTGGGAATTTTGGGAACACTGCTGCCTAGGATTTAGTCAGGCCTGCTCTGCTCGGACCTGGCAGTAAACCTCTATCCTGGAAAAGTTTAAAGTTTGTTTTCCCAAATTCCACAAGTGGGTAAACTGACAAGGGCTGTCATATTTGAAAAGACCATAGTCCTCTTACATCACAGTCTTGTGGGAATTCTGAAGGGATGTGGTGAGAACTGAGGTCCATTATTAATATTTCTGTAATGAATAGCACTCCCCCCTCCAACCAGTGGTGCACCCAGACACATGCTTAGGGTTTCATCAAGGAAAAGCCAGTTCCTAATGATTGAGAGTTTGCTCTTTTTTTGAAAAATAAACTTAAAGTTTTAGAACAGTTTTGGATTTACAGAAAAATTGCAAAGATAGTAGAGTCCCCCATGTATCTATCCCATGTCGAGTCTCCCCATCATATATCACTGTCTAACACTAGTATGGTGTATTTGTTGAAGTTAATAAAACAATATTGGTAGGTTGTGATTAACTGAAGTCCACAGTTTATTCCGGTCTTTTAAATTTTATCTAATGTCCTTTATCTATTCCAGGCTCTCATTTAGGATTTGGTGTTTTAGTTGCTAAGTCGTGTACAGCTCTTTTGCGACCCCCCTGGACTGTAGCCCACCAGTCTCTTTTGTCCATGGGATTTCCCAGGCAAGAAGACTGAAGTGGGTTGCCATTTCCTCCTCCAGGGAGTCTTCTCAACCCAGGGATCTAACCTGCATCTCTTGCATTGGCAGGCATGACCTAAGAAGCTCACACTCTATTTAATTGTCTCCTAGGCTTCTCTTGGCAGTGACAAGGAGGAAGGAAATTTGACTTTCCTTCTTTTTGCTGACTTTGATGGTTTTGAGATGTATTGGTAAGATATTTTGTATGCTGTCCCTCTCTGGGGATCTGATATTGTTATTCAACTGGGCTTGTGGGTCTTCAGACTAAGGATCACAGACCTAAAGCCCCATTTTATCACATACCAAGCATACACACCTCCAGCCTGATTTATGGCTGTTGATGTTGACCTTGAAGATCTGGCTCAGGTACCAGTACCCTCTGTCAAGCTTTTCCCATTGTACCCGTTACTCCCCCTACTCTTTCGCTACTCTCCCTACTCTTTAGGGCTTTGGAAGGAAATGAATGCATGATTCCTCATCTTCTGTAGCTCATAAATGAAGTCATTAAAATGTTTTTTTACTGTTATAGGCTTTTAAAAAAACCTGTCACAAAACAATGTTCTCTTTATACAAAAATGAAAAGATTATGCCCTTTTAATATCTTCAAGTCACCAATCCCTTACAAGGACAGTATGTGTATTGTGGTTATTACTGGGCAAATTTTGATTCCTTTGTTTTGAAACAGTGACTTTAAAGCTGAATAGAAAAGCCTGCTGTTTTTACTTTTACTGGTCGCAAAACAAGGGCAGGCAGATGCAAGGACTCATCATATTATCTGGGGTAGCTTCAGGATAATTATCATCACCGAAGTTTTGTTCGTTGGTTCTATATAAACACCAGACCGTATCCCAGGTCGTTTCTGAACTACGTTTAATAAAGTTGCACAATGCAAAAGTGCTTCCGACTGAGCAACACACACACACACACGCGGCTTGTAGGGCTCTCGTTTGAATGGTAGAGCGAGGTGGCAAGGGCGAGTTGGGGGTTAAGATCACCAGTTACCTGTGTAATTGTAAAAGAGAACACAGGTATTCTAGGAATAATTAGGCACGAGCAGGTGCCCAGCGCGGGTGTTTTGCTCAATGGTGTCCGACTCTTTGTAATCCTACAGACTGTATGTAGCCTGCCAGGTTCTTTTGTCCACGGGATTCTCAAGGTTAAGGGTACTGTAGTAGGTTACTATCCTCTTGTCCAATCCTGGCGCCAGAAGAAAGAGACAAAGAAATGAACAGTAGGGGCTTCGGTAGTTTTTCTCGGGGAAACATGTGGACTGTGAAAACTCCGAACTCCATTCTGTCAGCTGTAAGCGCCATCTACCGGCTTTCATCAGGACTGTATTCTAGACTTTAAGGAACTATTCTTAGAACAAACAAATCGTGGAAAAAGAGATTTTTCTTTTTTCCAAAAATTGCACCGTGATAAAGCCGAGCTTTAGCCGGTGCGGGTGTGTTGCATAGGCGTTAGCAGTACTGCCCTCGCTAAGCGCTCATCGGACAGTAGCGCAACCCCAAGAAAAGGATGGTTGGCAGAACCTTCGCGTGCGGCGCGAGTAGCAGGCGCCAACACTGGGTAGACTTGTGGCGACTAACTCACCAGTGCCGCCGCAGCCGCCCGGCAGCGGGTGAACCTCCGCTGATCACGGCTTCTGAAGCTCGCCACCAACACTTCGTTTTCGGAGGCTCGGAAGGTCGCAAAGAGGCCGTTCAGTGGTACCCAGAAGGCCACGCGCCGGCCGCGAGCTGATTTGCATACGCGCGCCCTGCCGGGGCGGGGCCTCGGCGGGAGCTCCCGCCCTCCTGGGCTAGCGCCCGGAGCCGGCTCGCGGCGTTGGTGTTTGAGTAGCGTCTCGCCGAAGACTCTTTCGTATTAGCTCTGTCAACCGCCCTTGCGGACAAGAGCGGCCCTCTTCCTGATACGCAGCTTCACCCTCGGGTCGGCGCTCGCTCGGGCTCCCGGGCCCAGTGTGAGCCAGAGATGCGGGGGAGCGCCTGCAGCCGGTGGGGGAGGGCGCCAAGCCCCCGATGGGCCGCTGATGAGAGCCCACTGTTTGCCGTTGCAGGTGGTTCTCCTGGGCATGGACATCCTGTCCGCGTTGGTCACCCGGTTGCAGGATCGGTTCAAGGCGCAGATCGGTACAGGTGAGCTCTCCTCCTTCCGTCTCGGCCTTCACCGGGTCTCCCCATACCCTGCACTTGGCTGTACCCGCCCCATAGCCAGCCCTCGTTCAGTCCCCCACCTTTTTTTTCTAGCCGCCTCTCCCCGGCTGGCCCCTACCTCCTCCTGCATCTGTAGATGCTGCACAGCTGCCCTCGCTCGCCTGGTGCGCACGCCTGAATCTGCCGCCTTCGCTCACCTGCTGGCGCCCCCGCCCCCTTTCTCTTTCTGCTCTTTCTCCATCTTCCTGTTCTAGGACTAGCTATTTTATTTCTTATGCCAGTTGCCATCATGCTGTGCTGCCAACCAAACCCTGTTTGCCTCTGACCCTTGTCTTGGAGAGACATTGCCTTTTCTCTTTGAGAGGCTTACAGATCCGACGCAGCTGTATTTTTAAACAGTTTATTGTTGCTATGACCGTTTTCACTTCGGTTGTCAGTGTCATTTCACGTGTGTGGTGAATGATTACTTTTATTTTGAAGGGAAAACAGTGTCAGAATAATGAAATAAAAATAACATCAGGTTTCAAAGTTTAAGAGACGGTTTTATTCCCAACCTCTGGGCTTCCATAACAAAACAAGCCCTAACCCTTTCCTTTTAGCATTTCTCGTTTTGACAGATACACATATATTTGTGCATTTCTGTTAACTTTCGGTCAATGTGCATGTTTAGATAAAGTCATGAGCTCTTCCCACTCTGCCATAAACTGTGTATCTGTAAATGAAAACCCCTCTTATTTTTATTAAGTTGATTATTTAATACCAAATTAGATGAATTGTTCAGGATTATTTTCTGTAAAGTAAATTTCTAATAGACTTTTAGAAGAAGCAAAGTGAGTTGACCTCTGACATCCAAGTGCCCTTGGAACAGCAGCGATGGCCCACGCAAGCTGTGCGGAGGAAGGGCAGGCGGAGAGCTGCATTCTGTCTGATGAGCATGCAGAGATGTTATGTAAAGTGAAAAGCAGACTGAGCCTTAAGTGTCTGTTTGGCTACCCCCGAGTAGATGCACCGGGGCCTTTCTCTCTTACCTGGATTTCCTTTTGTGTTGACTCTTTGCTGCCAAGGTCTTCCATCGACATCCATTTTAATAACATTCCAGCAGCTTAAAAACACATTGGGAACTGCCCAGAGGGAGGTGGCATAAGGAAGAAGACAAATAGTGTGTCCATGCAAAGGATTTTTGCAAATTCTCATAGTATCTCCCATGAATTTGAACAGGAGGAGATTTATAGGGGTTGGTGGGTGTAGAGTGATCTGCCTCATTTAGGCCAGGATTTTGAGATATCTTGTTAATTGAAATACCCACAGTTGGTGACCTCGGGCTATCAGAGTCGATTTGATCAAGTTGCATTTTAATTTCCAGTGCTGCCGAGTTTAATAGACAGACTGGGAGATGCTAAAGACTCTGTGAGGGAGCAGGACCAGGCCCTGCTGCTGAAGATCATGGATCAGGCTGCTAACCCCCAGGTGAGCCCGGGGTGTTCCTGCGAAGTGTCCGTGGGTTTCGGAGAAACAATTTATGGTATTTCATCTGGCCCCTCTTACCCCCCCCAGTGGAATATTTACAGAGGGTATACCTTTGAATAAATTAGTGAACCTAACATGGGTATGGGGTGCTTGGTTTAATTTCTTAGACTCAAGCTCATTTACGTAATTGACTCTTTGTGTCTCTGAAAAGATGCAGCTGTGATGTCGGGGCCATCAGCAGCCTGGCTGCAGCCCTGGCCCGTGTCTGCTGTGAGCTGGGCTGCTGGGAGGACAGCCAGGGCTATAGCTCTGTCTTACGGGTCCAGCTGTCCATTGTTGGGGGTGGGGCAGGGTGAGACGGTGTGAGGAGAAGCTTTCCCAGGGCAGGTAAAACTTAGACTAGCCTGGGAAGCAGAGCGGGTTAGAGGGTGGGGTGGTCACAGCTCTTCTGGCCCAGAGAGCAGCGTGAGCAGGTGACCTCTGGTAAGTCACCCCGCCTCTGCTTCATTTTCCCCACCCGGGAACTGGGGACAGTTCCACCTCTTTTTCAGGGTTGTCGGGAAAATTAAATGCAATTACATAAAGGAATGTGTTTTGAAAGGTTTTAGCTTGATATAGAAACCCATGTTACCATTTTCCAAAAAGCTCCCCAGAGGGCTGGTGGAGGCGGGGAGGGATATGGCCCCTGTGGTGAGGCCGCCGCCCTGGGGGCCCCCGGCTCGGATGGGCTGCAGCAGCCTCCTCCCCTCCTCTCCCCACTTACCTCTGCCCTCTGCAGTACGTGTGGGACCGGATGCTGGGCGGCTTCAAGCACAAGAACTTCCGCACCCGGGAAGGCACGTGTCTCTGCCTCGTGGCCACCCTCAACGCGTAAGTCTGGGTGGGGCCTGAGGGCTTCCTTGGCCAGGCTTTTGTGTTTGTAACTTTTAACTTTGAAATCATCGTATATTTATAGGAAGATGTAGAGAAGCGTCCTGGGAGGTGCCTCGCACCTGCCTGCTGTCTTGCGAGTACTAGCACAGGGTCCAGCCCAGGAAGTCGGTGTTGATGTGAGCGTGTTCAGGGTCCTCCAGTGACACACGCGTGTCCTCTGTGTTCTGTGTGTGCCCAGCTCCGTCACGAGTGCAGCTCCAGGTAGCTCGCTGCCACGTTCACGGGCAGCCTAGTACCTCACCCCGGGATGCTCACATTGCTCTTCTAGCCAGTCCCCAAGCTCTGCCAGCCAGTCACCTGTTCTCCAGCTCTGAGATTTTATTAAGAATGTTACATGAATGGAATCACACAGAATGTGACCCTTTGAGATCAACTTTGTTTTTCTTCCTCACAGCATAATTCCCTTGAGATTGCATGTATGCTGTGGCTGAACAGTTAATTGCTTTTTACTGCCAAGTAGAATTCCCTGATATAGACGTATCATAATGTATTTAACCATTCACCTGTTGAATACTTCCAGTTCTTGGTTATTACAAATAAAACTGTTATGAATACATGCATATACCAGTTTCTGCCTGAACAGAAGTTATCATTTATTTTGGGTCAGTGCCCGAGAGTGCAGTTAATTGCTAGGTCATTTAGCAAGTTTGTTTTAGTTTTTAAGAGAAATTCTTAGCTACTTTCCATAGTTGTCTGTACTGTTACACATTCCCACTACCAGTGTGTGAATGATTTCGTTTCTTCAGAAACTAGCGTTGAATGTTATCACTGTCTTTAATTTTAACCATTTTGATGTGCATGTAGTTTATGTTATTGTGGTTTTGCTTCTTTAATGACTGTTGATGTTTTAAGATTAAAAATTACAGATCACCTTTCCTGATTGTGAAAGTATTACTGTATATGTAACAGAAAATCGGCATGAAGAAGAAAGTGATCGTTGTCTATAATTCTGCTACCTTCAGATAATCACTGTTAACATGTAGCATTTTGTTCCAGACTTTAGAGTTATATTATTTTTTAAAAACAAAATGGAGAGTGTAATGTTTACATTACTTGGTAGATTTTTTTCCCCTCTTAATGTGCTAGAGTTTAAGGGTCATTAATTGTGGCATATGTGTGAAGCTTTTAAAAAATGTTTCTAGCCTTTGATAACAGTTGTTCCCTTATTTATCCTAAGGGAGTAATCCGAGGGTAGTCAAAGAGAACTCTATTGAGAGAGCATCTCTGTGACTGCGATTATGGTGGTGAACAGTTGCCAGTAGCTTAGTTGTTCTCCACCAGGGCAGTGTCCGCTCAGCCATTCGTTGCAGCCGTTTCATCAAGCATCTGAATGTCTGTTATAGCGGAGAACCGCACGCAGTGGGGGAGAGGGAGAGCGTTCGCGGAGGGCTCCAGGGGCCTGCCTGGGAGCGCAGTGAGTCAGGCAGAGTAGGAACCGTCATGGGACAAATGGTGATGCCAGCATGGCGGGACCCGCGGTGGGACAGGCTCGTGCTTCAGCTTGGAGGGACCCCAAGTGCGGGGGGAGACTTGGGAAAAGCACTCGCAGTCTTGGACTCTGTGCAGAGGGCTTTTGGGTGTGTGTTTATTTTGGAAGCAGGTAAGGGAGGATGAGGAGAGAGTGGTGGGGGTAGGGGAGGGGGCCTTCTGTCTTTTGTTTTCACCACCAGTAAAGCGTTCCTTTTGTTTTCAGCTCTGGAGCTCATACCTTAACACTAAGCAAGATCGTGCCACATATATGTAACCTACTCGGAGATCCCAACAGCCAG